GCTTCAGTGGAGATTATTTGCTTAGTTGAATGTAGTGACGCGGAGTCAATACAACTTGAGGTGCGACCACTTAGGACACTAATAAAGTTATATAACCACGTTTAACATTTTTCTCCGTTAAACTCTGTCTAGTGCTGCTCAGACTTAGTCAGAAAGCCGAAAGGCACATTATTTTCAAACTATGCCTTCCTCATTTGTAGCAGTTAGGATACTAGAATTACCACATAAACGAATGTGACAGTGAGTATGTCAGAAGCGGGAAGCGCGTCGTCCAAATATAGTAAACCATAAACCAGCAATAAGACAATCGACGATATTGACTACTATTTTCGGAATAGAAATCGCAGGCCGTTCTGCCTTATTTTTTTGCACATCGGACAATAAAAGTTTTTAATAATTCATAAGGCGCGGAGACTGCGCAGTCGCCTCACGTGCGGTCGATGCGAGCGCGCAGATAATTCTACACGGCGAAAATAACGCTATTCCCACGATCGTAAAATCACGATGTTTTACATGGGCATACTAGGTTTTTTGTGAGCAGGACATATTTCTAGTGAGCGCCATTTCTTTTTTTTTTTACCAAAGACTATAGACTCGTATGATGCTGCCAGGTTAATCTAATATGCATAGGGTAATTTATAATGTTGTGATGGCGAAGTATGGAAGTCTTTCAGTTTTTACTTTGTGTGAGAGTTGTAAAAGTCGACTTAGGAGAGCGCTAAGAATGTCGCAGTTTTAAGATAACTCAAATAATTATTTTAAATTTGCCAAGTACATTAAGACCGTCACCGAAGCCTTTAATACTGTTCTATAAGTAAGATCTATAGACGAAGATTTCTGGAACTGTGATACCCAAGAGAGTTAACAAGCTTCATAAATGAAGCATTATAAATAATGAGAGGCAGAGACTTCATCCGGATTCGAACGTCTTGTACTGAGATTAATTTGGCAATTGTGTACCGGCGGATTTTTTTGTAATAATCTAAATCTTAGTCACTGTATGACTACTATCCTACCTGATAGTAAGTGGTGATGCAGCTAAACATTGTAAAGTGCACTTAATTAGCTTAACAAAAGCCTCACTTTGCCTTGAAGACGGGTGTCACATTGAAATCGAGTAGAAAGACAGAATGCTGCCAAATTATTTCAGTCATTTGTTTTACACGTTATGAACGTATGAATATGTATGAACGCGACGTAGCAAACAATTTGATTATAAATCGAACAAACTTCAGATTACTCACGTATTGTGCGACATCAAGCAGCCAAGACTAGTGACAAGTCAGATTGTGTAACTCTGGTGGAAATCTGGTCGAAATGTCGCTTTGTTTTTGACGTTTGGTATTTGGTTAGGTATTATGTAAATGTACCATGTTAGTCTACAGGGTTAAAGAAGATAAAAAGACTAAAAGAAGAGAAGGAATAACTCGAAATTGTGTAAATTGATTATATACATTGTGATCATTCTGCTAAAAATACACAGAGAAGAGAATTCTGCGGTGCTGCTCAGTAATTCGTTTATGGAGGTCAGTTATTCATTCACGGGGGCGGAGCAACTATTATTAACAACAAAGTTCCAGAAATAATACACGTTCTTTCTTTACTAAGATTATTTTTTACTAAACGAAGACTATTTAAAAAGGGTTACCGTAATATGAATGAATACATAATTGATACTAACCACTGGAATGATTATGACCTTAGCCAAGCTGCCGGTTCATTCTAGGACAGAGGTTTTTTTTCCAAATCAAGTAAAAGTGAATTTAAAGCATTATTTCTAATTGAATAAAAATATTCTATTCATATTTTAAATAAAAATCGTTTTGAAAAAAACATACGTAAGTACGGAGTGATTTCCATCGGCATTCCAACTACTCTCATCAAAGTACATAATCGTGTTGCGGAGCTATAATAGTTCCGCTGTTCTATTTTTTTATAGCATAGGATGACAAACGAGCACACAGTCCACCTGATGGTAAGTGGTTGCTGCGGCTCATAGACATCTACATCTATCCTCGATTACGAATCAAAATACAAATGCGTTGTCATTCGTGAGGACTTAGGTGGAATGCCTCGTTTACAATTAAAAGGGTCTCCGGATCTCTACACTCACCATACGAAACACAGCAGCATTAAGCTACTATTTGACGCTGGTATTCTGTGACAGCGTGGTCCTTCCCCGGTCGAGCCTACTCATCCGTGCTACAACTATACTACTAATATAATTGCAGCATGGCTTTACCACGTAAAAAAACGTATTTTATTTTAAACGACAAGAAATAAGAAATCGTAAATTATGCTTCCTCATTTCTTCTACAATGCAAAATAATTCATTTCAATATACGAACCAACTTCACCGAGACGACAGAGCGTCGCTTCCGAGAATTAAAATTGAATTAAAGCCCACTAAGATTAATATAATAACGGCCTGAAAGTGCACGGGTTGAATTTCACGAGACGATCGTCGAATTCAAAATAAGCGTGTATAAATCGTTAATGTTGGTGACTTATTCGATGCGTGAGCCGTTTTGGCGGACGCGTGATTTATCATCGCCTTGACAGAACGGCTGTGCTATCACTACAGACCGTTATGTAAAAAACATGACTTTTTTTTTATAGAATAAGAGTGACAAACGAGCACATAGTCCACCTGATAGTAAGTCCATAAGCATCTACATTTATACTCGATTAAGAATCAAAATGCAGATGGGTTGTCACCACTGAGGACTGAGATGCAATGCCTCGTTTCCAGTAAAAAGAGTCTCCGGTTCTCTACACTCACCACACGAAACTCAGTGGTATTAAGCTATTTTACGCTAGTATTCTGTGAGAGCGTGGTCCTACCCCGGTCGAGCCGATCCATTCGGTCTTGACTCTACCTCGACTTTTGACTTAAAAACTATGCGAGAAATGTGGAAATAGCAGTCTTTAGAAATTTTTAACGTTTTAAAATGTTCGATAGAGTTATATAATATCTATATACATAAATGAAATTGAAATTACTGTCCATAATATGAAAATGACTTGTTTCTATTACGCTCAGGCGGCCATTTATTATTTATCACTATTTATTTAATTCTTTATTGCACCAAAGATTTTATACAAAAGGTATATCGCTAATGCAATATGGCATTCTCTGCCAGCTAACGTTGGTTGGATAGAACAGAGAGTGAGTTATGCCCAGTAAAGTTGACATACTTTATCCTCAAATTGTAATTATCTTTTTTCAATTTTTAATTGCTTATGTGCTTGCCTGTGTACTATGTTATCAATTTTGACTTGTTTGACATGTGAATTGATTGACTTTCTCCTTGGTATAGTGGTCGTAAAAGATCTTGTGGATTCGGCTTCTAATCCCAGGTCGCGCAAAAGATCAATTAGTGAGTTTTTCTATTAAGAAATCCTGAGTAAGGGACTGGAGTCAGAGAATTGGCGGTGTTTCACACACGTGCCTTGAAAAGCACCATAGCCGTTGGTCCTGCGCCTGCGTCCCATCCTTCGATCAACAATACCATGTTGATCGAAGGTACCATCGGACTATCAGAGTGAAGGAATAGAGCTATGCGCAACACACCCTCACTCACGCACTATATTCTGCCTGCGCAAATGATCCGTTTCCTTTAAGACTGGCCGCTGCGCTGTGACCGTAGTTTGAAGGATATTATTACTATCTTGTATGGATACACAGTGAAATAACTTATTTTTATTTCTTTGTTTTTAATATTGTATAACTGTTAACATTATCTGTTTCATCTGAAAGAGATTCGATACGCAGCTTTATCAATGTATCAGCACCACAAAATCGGAACAGTAGAAAGCACAGCCTCCAGCGATATAGATGTATCGCCGTTGAGCTGCTATCAGTACCGAAGATCTTAGCGTTCATTAGTTAATAACCGTTATCGCTTAGCATTTGCTTTGCTTAGTTCATATTTTTAATAAAATAAACGTTAAAAACACATTTCATTACTAAAAAAACATATTTCTTTACTGAAAAAAAATCGTGTCAAAAGTTTTATTTTATATTTTTTAACGAACGTTACCTCACATTAAGATTTTCTCCTGTATCGTAGAGGTAGTTCACGTACATAAATTTCACAAGGACAAACATCCAGATCCGGAACAATCATTCGTAGACCATACAAACACTAGTTCCGTGTGAGATTCGACCCGCGGCCCTCAGCGTGGCAACTCCATGCCTTTTCAGTTAGAGGGTATGTATATACGTTCGTCTTTCATCCATTACAGCCACTAGTCACAAAAGTCCGCTGCTGAACATGGGACTCCCCCATTAGAATACTAGTAGTATGTTTGTATTTATAAATGTAATAATAATGTCCTCCAGACCGAATTTCGGTCTCGGCGGCCAGCTTCAACGGAGACTAGCCATCTGCGCAAGACAAGATTATAGTGCACAAGGGTATGCGCAAACACAGGTGCACTCTCTATTCCCTCACCCTCATAATACGATGGGACGGTAAACCGACACAACTGGAGAGAGATCAAGCGCAGGACCAACGGTTTTTCCGTGCTTTCCTAGGGCAGCTACTGAAAATTTCTTGATGAAAAAACTCAGTAAGTGATTTTTTTTGCTCAACCCGGGATTCGAACCCAGGACCTCATGATCACCAGTTGCACTACTACAACCACCAGACCAACGAGGCAGTCACTTATAAATGTATGTGTAATGTGTATATTCATGACTTCTCTTACAACACTGTCTTGAACAACTGTCGTATCTGCATTTAAAATTTTGAGAGATGTAAGTGTCTAAGCGTCGCAGCAACTAAAAGAGCATCCTCTTGCCATTAGGTGGACACGTGGTAGACATAAGAATGTTGACAGGGCTGTCTACTATCCCTTTGCTTTTGATGTGTCGACGTTCGAATTAAGATATTATATTTAAGCTAAAGTTGACGTCATGTCATGCTTTAAAACATAATGTGTAAAAGTTGATTTTGTAAACTTAGGTACAAAAATCTCCTACACTAGAAACATACCTTTGATAAAGCGGCTGAGAAACCGGCTTGGCACACGCCTGTTTTCCGTTGTCCGTGACTTGCTGCAAATATAAATTATGATTTTATTATTCCATTTTCAAATCAATCATATTAACAATAAGAAGCGTGTATCGATGTAAATTCATCACAAGTTACATGTGGAAGAAGTTACACGCTTAAAAAAAGGTAATATTTACGGACTACATCGAGTTTCGATTCTGAATTTAAAATCAAATATAGGCTTTAAAATACTGTAAAGGCCCTGATTGACCGGCGAGCTAAAAGCTTGTGGTAAATATCATAGTGGTATTACACGCGGCTCATCGTTCCTGATACAATGGTGTGCCAAACATCATTTATTTTTTGGAGTTTGTTGAAGCAACGTGAAAAAATTCTTAAGCCGCTTGCGAGCAGAAAGCCTGCTCGGGACACAAAACCACGGTATTTAGATGATTCACCAACGAGCTGTACAGGAAAGCCACTAAAGCTGTAAAGCTTGTCCATCGATCAGGTCAGGACCTTAAGCCCATTTTGCATAAATAGGAACACAAATTAATTTAAAACTTGATGGCAGCCCAGGTTGACTGTGTCCATGACAGCTACAAAGCTCTCGGAACGTCAGGAATATATATTTTAAAATTAAACGCGATAAAATTCGTAAAAATTAATTTTGTAAATTATTAAAATGGCACACTGAACTATTTCTTCTGAGAAAGCTATAATGAAAAGTTCATACTTGGTCATTATTTCAATGACATGAATAACTTTTATTCCTATGACTGTGATTGATGACAAATTAAAATTATAATAATATACATATTTATATTCTAAAATTCAAAAGGAAATGAAGTAAAAAAATATATAAAAAATAGCTATTTACAGGTTTTTCATCTCGTGTTGTAGTTTTGATTTGATACACGTAGGACTTGTACCCGCGATTCAGCGTCTATGCGCGCGTATTTCACGTAGTTGCGTAACGTGGGTTTTTATGTTAATGCAGAATATAATGGATTTTTTTTCTACATAAGTATGTATAATATTACTTATACACCTGAAACATGTTTAATTTTACGGTCTTATTTCTTTATAAATACATTTTTCCACTTCATTTGGCTACTGCTCCACCTGACAGGTCAGTAACGTTGGTCGACATAAATCCGCTTGCAAAGCGTGGCTATTATAGCTCTAAACGGAAGTGGTCCAGGTCCGATAGTGAAATTCAAAGAATTGATTAAAACAATACTTTGTTTAATAAACTTAAAGGGAATACTATATAATACCCTTGGAATACCTAATAAAAATAATAAAGAGATAACTTTTGAGCTAACAACTAAAAATACAATTGGTAAAAAAATATTTTGTATAAGATTATTTATATTTTATATTAAGTAATTAAATGATTATTTTGTGTTCTATTCAAATAGAAAATCAGCACAGCATTACACTACTCAGTGCTTTTTTGCCGTCACTGTCTTTAACTAAATAAGCGGAAAATATTTATATTTCTATTGTTGTTTTTCTGATATTATGTCATTTCACTTGTTAGTGAACGAGCAATACAGAATGTTTGTAGTCTATTCTCCTCTATTTCATTTTGTATGTACGCATGAATGTAATGGACTTTATTAATTCAGTTTCCATTCTCACCTACTTCCGGGTGTAATAATCTGAAATATTTTCAGCCACATTAAGAACCGATGACAATACAATAATAATTTCACTATGACCTCGTGTTTCGACAAATATCATCACAGTTCACGATCAATTCGTGCCGTTTTAGTTTTTTAATCAATTACAGGCAAAAGTCTTTATATTACTGAAAGCATGCATTATACATTTATTTATATTAATTATATAATTCATATTTTCGTATCCAAAGTCGTTTCTTTTTAGATATCTCTTCTTCTGACATTGGCAGGCTCCAGGGCTGGCGCCTGTTACTGTCCCTGTGTAAATCAACTATTACATAATATAATCACTGAATTATCTCTATACCTGTCACTTTCCACCGTCATTTAGTGAAAATATAGAGAGAACAACTTCATTCATTTCTTAATTAGACGTCAACATTTATGACTAAAGTCGTTATTTTAGTAATGAGTAATTAATGTATATAAGATATGACCAAAAAAACACAATGACAAAATGCAACATTGCATGCGTCACTATGAACGTCATTCTACCACATTTATTACGTAGTATGGTGTTGTACTTACGTGTGGTACAATACGAATCATTGTTACGTTTTTGGTGTACTAAGTGACGTGAGTAAACATGATAATTTAGTACTGACATGTTTTTCAATTAGTTGACCAGACGAAAGAATTCAAATGACCGATGAGGAAGAACAATTTAAGAATTACGGGCTCGCACTATAAAGTGGAGTGTAGGACGGACACTTATACAAATGGAGTACACCTCAAGAAATCGATAGATGCAGATAGCTTCGAATCGGTTTAGTTGTACTCCCTGGGGTAGATCTATGTTGAGCAGTAGATATCCTACCCGATATCCGTATAACAGATAACCCCTTTAAAGGTAATGTAAATACATACACGTATAACTTTTGTCCACAGATGACAATCCATAGTGTTCATATTTCCCAACATTATTAACAATTAGAATGATTAGTTATGAATTGTGCTTAATTATAATGCTAATTTTTTACAACTCATATCTAAGAACAAATTTTGGCTTATAAATTGTAAAACAATAACAAAAAACAATGACGTTTCGAAATAATTTAATAACACATCAAAAGCAATATGTACGAACTACGAATCGATATCAGTAGATAATAATTTACAATGAAACATGATTTAAAATATTAAAAAATAACGTATGCGACTGGAGGTTACTGGATTTTACGTTAATATCAAGTATACTGTTACAGCAACAAAGCACCGTGACAGTAATACTAAGTAATTTTTTTATTAATACGAGTATCGCCTCTTATAGAGATTCGAATATATGGGTTGAAACGTTTTGTATGCCACGCTCGTGATTTTCTATACAAAACTCCTTCTTGTGTACATCTATGTCGCAGTATCTTTCGAATGACATAATTTTCATTCCTCGTCTTTTATAATAAATGCTAAAAAAGTACAACCACTCGATTCGAAATTTCGATGTTCACGTATTAATATAATGTTATGTCCTCCACTCACATACACTATAATTTGTTACGGTGATAGAAATGTGTACTCGGCTACACTGTACAAGTGCGTTGTTACACATTTAAAACGCTGGGGCACCAAATACTCACCCTCGTCCAACGAGCGATACCCTAAACAGAGTACAAATAGCTAAATACATAACAGTTATATAAGTATATTATATTATATTTGCATATAATGTATAATACACATAAGTTATATCATATAAAAATGTATGCGGTATCTGTACAAATAAAAATAAACATACTGTATTATGCAGATTAACTTTTATAATATGGAATCTGTATTATCTGGAAGCGACTTTAAGTTACGTCCTTTCTTTCGCCTTGTCTTTATATTATTATATTATTTATTTATTTATTTACTACCAAAACTACATATATATAATTCTGATGATTTATATATAAAGCAACCGATAGTATATTTTATTGGCTTTTAAAGGAAACTCGTAGATAGATTTCATTGAGACTAAGTTACCATATTAAGAGTAATGATACAATACTTGAGCAATTCGTAATTTTTTCACATAAGAAACTAAAGCTGGACTTAATAAATATAAATAAAATACTGATTCAACTAATTAGTGTCTAAATGCAATTGATTTATTGTATAATAAAACAAAATATACCATAAACTAATTAAAACATAGTTAATTTGATTTAATAAGAAAATTGTGCAAATTTTTCTCACACATACAACTTTCACTCGCACACTCATGTAACATATACACACATAATATAAAATGCCATAATCATCATGGCGAGCAATAATAACGGCGGTAAAAGCGCAAAATTTGTATGCTCACTTCCGCCGGTAATGGTGGATTGAGGCGCGAAATTAGGCTGACGTGCGTTCTCAGAGTAACACGTTGATTTATGGTTTACTTTGGCAATTTAAATTTGGGCGTCGTATTTCAACCTAAATATCATCAATGGCAGCTATAACCAAAAGTTACTCATATGTATGTACCACTACCACTACCATTCCAAAAAGTTACTTAGTTAGGAAGTTACTACATTACTATATAATATTTCTATAGTCAATATCAAACTCCTAAGTGTTTTTAATGGAAGCCTAATAAAATAATCAATTTCTTCAGCGATTTTGATAACAATTCAACTATTAATTTTTGTTTTTACTTTCAATTGCTTCTATTACAAGTAAATGTATGTCTCTAATTATTAAAGGTTCAAGCAAAATATTGTCTAACATTATTTCTCAAAACTTGCTTACAGTTTCGACACGGCGAATATTCATTGACATCAATCGCATCTGGAGTCTTGGCGACGAAGCAGGAGCCGACAGGGTCCCGCTGGTTCAGCTTCGCCGACACGAACGACACGTAGCGTGGTGCGCAGGCCTAAGACAAAAAATAAAAAATAAAAGATAAAATTTTATGTATGGATTATTTTATGTACTATGTATAATATATTAATTTTATGTATTAGTAATACCCTCTCCCAAAAAGATGGGAATAAAAATGTAATCTTGATGGTCAACCATAATTCCATCCAAAACCATATTTACCACATTTTTGGGTTATAAGTACAATGGCAAACGAGATTTCTCTACATCTAGTCCTCTTCTTCTAACATCAAATTAAAAGGAAAAGGATATAGACTTTTGAAAATACAGTGCATGAATTGCACCGTCGGACTCACTTTTCCCAAACTGAACGGAACGTATTAGTTCCACTAAGTTTTGAAGGCAGAAGAATAATAATAGTTAAGTGTCTTGATGTTAGGTCTCTTCTGCCTAGAAACCCGTCTGAAAGCTACACTCTTACTGCCTCTTATTCCTGCTGCTAAGTAATAGTGTGTGTGTAGCTTCCTTCCGGCCGGAGTATAGAGACTCCGTATTCAATTACATGCTGTTAGGCAATCCATCTTACTCCTCAGAGTAGTAGTAGTAGAATTTTGTGGATAAATGTACTGATAAATGTACTGTCTTTGAGTCACAGCATTAGCTTACCATCAGGTTGACTTTGTGCTTGTTTTCACTACTACATATTTTTACTGAAAAAAACCGACCAATTGCTTCTCAGCGTCAGATGTGGTTCGATGAAATGCGGGCTACATTGTAGAAACCCTGCACAAAAATCGCTTTACCATAGAGACCCACTCTATTTCGTTTTTGTATAAAGACCTGAGAAAGGAACATTTTGATATTAAAGTGTTAGAAATTCATAAATCTGTTACACATGGACTTAATACCGAAAATAAACCAGAAAGTTCAATACTGCATTAATGCCGGTTCTAATTCAAACTTTATATCAACAACTAAACGTGTTGAATCCACGCTTTAAGTGTATAATGATCCCAAACAAATACCGTAGTGGTACGACGCAGTAGAACCAGAGTGGCCGATATAGCCCAACGGATTAGTAAGCTGAAGAGGCAATGGGCTGGTCATATAGCTCGAAGAACCGACAACCGTTGGGGAAAAAAGGTTTTCGAGTGGCAGCCTCGTACCGGTATGTGTAGTGTAGGGCGACCCCCCACTAGATGGAGTGACGACCTGGTAAGACATGCAGGAAGTCTATAGATGCAGGTGGCTCAGGACCGTGCTTTGTGGCCTTGGGGGAGGCCTATGTTCAGTAGTGGACTTGTGAAGGGCTGTGAAGGAATGATATCATAGTTCCCAATATATTTCACTAAAATTACATAAGAAATAAATCGTAATCAAGATAAATTTAATTTCGGCTGTCTCTCATAATACAAAGAAAAATTACATATCTTCTATTCATTTTATATTGGGTTACATCTACCCTTTTCATATAACGAAGATTTATTACCACAACATCCTTCATAACCTGCTCCGTTCACCTTACAGTTCCGTGGAAAGACGCGCGTTACGTCCAGAAATAGTTCAACGTAAATAACTTTATACGAATGAACTTGGAAACTCCTCGCCAGTTCATCTAGGATTAACACAATCACAAAGGAAGTAACGAAGCCCTGGTATAGGGTTGATAACTTTAATAATTAATAAATAAAATGTAAACTTTTTATTTATTAATTATTAAATATTCTGTAGACGTATGTACCTACATACGTCCTTATTTTGTTTTTAACACTAGTGGTCACTTTTTATACTCGTAACATAGTAAATACAAAAATTGAACAAAAATTACTGATATATAAGCATGATAATCATATATAATTATTAAGTAGCCATACCCGTAAGCGGAGGTAGCCGTCAACTAGATGGTGCAACCACCTGACATGCAAATTAATAATTGAAAGAAGCTCACAGCCGAGCTTTAGGGCATTTCTTGAAGGAGGCCTATTATCAGCAGTGGACTTGAAATACCAATGATGATGAAGAGAAATATTTTTTTACACAGCCTAACTGAACGTAGGCCTTCCCCATAGATTGCCTCATAGCTGAGACTTTGCCATAGTTGCCACGCTTGGCGAGCGGGTTGGCAGTTTTTTTATTTGGGTTGTTAGGAAGATCGAGTCGAGAGTCAAGGTTGCAGCTTAGTTTAGTTTTAATATAATTGCATTTACATTAAATAAGTACATCCCTAGCGAGTGCGTACATCGTAATGAAATAAAAACAACTACTAGTCATGTCAATCTTAATAACAGAAAAATAAACAAGCTACAACATTTATGAGCGGGGCGTTAAAGAAACAAAGGCATCTGGCGTAATTGAAGTCGCCTTAACATTAAAATGAGGAAAGGTCCGAAAAATGTAGATTATACATTTTATGCGATAAATAATTAAATCAGCCATCTAATGAAAACGTCCACAACTTTTTCTGCCACCATGGTGGTGCCACTTAGAAATGAGGATTTCATTGCGAGGGAATTAACTTGTTAAGGAAATATAAGGGTTTCTTTCTGTCTCAAATATTAGTAATAATAGTTTTGAAGCGACAGTAGCCCGCGGATCGCGAACTCAAAAGTTCGTGGGTTCGAATCCGCCATTTGACTATTGTCGTGAACCACTCCTAACACAAGCATTTCAAGTTTAGAAGGAGTGGTTAAAAGGAACATTAGTAATGTTAATTAATAAGATTACTAATATTTAAAAAAATAAAACTAAAATAAAAAATGCCAAACTAGGGATTTTCCTGAAAGTAGAAGAATTAAAAAAAAAATTACAAATGTGAAAAACATTAAAGAACAAACCAATAAGGTATTGTTTTGTATATCTACATAATCTCGAAACTGATTATTTAACTACTATTATTTAATAAGTAACTTCTCAAATGACTATTTATTTGTTAAACCTTGGTTTCAGATAGCGACATCGGTTAGTAGAAAATTATTAGCCCTCATTAAAAGGAGTCAATGCTATTTGAATGGTTGACTCTTTACTGTTTTATTACAATCCTAGAAAAGAATTACGTTTAAAAAAGCCTAGGTGAGCTTTCTTTTATTAAGTTCTGAATAAGACTTTTTAGGGGATTTTAGTTTTTAATTTTATGATGTACGGTATTCTACACAAGTCACGAAAATAAAGATACACTTGTTGGTATTTTCCTGTTTAAAGTTGACGAATAATTTATCAAAAATCGAACACATTTAAAATCAGAGTAGTTCGTTATAAATACTAATCTTTTTTACCGTCGGGAAAAAATAGGGTGTAAAATGTGAACGGAGTAGAAGCCTAAGGAACTGATATTTTAAAAATTTTTCTTTTATATTAACATATTATGAAATTTATCTATAAGTAAATACTATCTACTAATTGGATGGAAAAACTATCGAAATTAATATAATATTAATTTTGATAGTTTTTAATTGATTTGTTTATTAAGTTCAACATTTTAGTTTTTTTTTTTTTTGTACCGAAAGTTTATTTCAAATTATAGTAGTATTTATACATACATAAACATAAACACTCACGCCTGTCACCCAGAGGGGTAGGCAGAGACTACAGACTTCCATTTAGCACGATCCTGACATACCTTTCTCGCCTCTTCCACATCCATATACCTACGCATACATGCTCGTCGGTTAAGGGTGTAGTATTTATTGATAGATTAATTGCATAATATGTTACTGTAAAAGAAAAAAATCAATCACAGCGCTGTACTGTTGCTGTATAAAAGGTATTTTTTTTTTGTAAATCCCGCCTTGAATTTCTAAGCACAACTATTAATGCACATTGTATTTTATAGTGATGTTTAACTGCCAATAAAATCCAGATATACACGGGTTTTACCATAAAAATCGTAAGTGAAGCCACAACCATATTTAGATATTAATCGCAACCCACCGATGTAATTTTCCGTAGAAAAAAGCAGTAATTGAAAGTTAATTTTCTTCCTTATATCGGGTTACAATCGAGCAGTCGGGTTATTGCGGTTAGGCTGTCCCTTCTAAACGGCCCATTGATTGTCGACATCGTAAAAGTAGTGTAAACAGGCCATCGTCGATTTTTAACTACTGCTTTACGCTTTCGGTGCTTTCGGGCACGTTTATAACACACCGCCTTTATTGGGTTAAGTTTTCATAGGACCGGTTGCGTAAATACACAAAGAAGTGTTTGAGACAAGTGATCGTGTTGTCTTACATATCACACAGTTTATAAATAAAACGAATGGTAACACAATTTTTTTATTTTCATTTTTTTGTACTAAAGGTTCAAACGGAGAACGATCACGACAGATAAAAATTTTTAACAGTCAAATAGGGCAATAAAAAAATCGGTATTTTACCTAAATATTAAAATAAAAAAATGTAAATTATAATAACAGCTTAATGCTGCTGTGTTTTATATGGAGAGTGTATAGAACCGGAGACCCTTTATATTGGAGACGAGGCATTCCATCTTAGCCCTCAGGGGTGACAACGCATGCATTTTAATTTTTAATGCTTTCATATTTATATTGATTTTATTTTATTTTTCTATTCAACAAACTAAATATTACAGCCGTGTGGTGGCTGGTGTAGATTACATCACCACATTTCTTCCCATAAGAGGCGACTATGAGAAATTCTAAAAAAACTCTCACGGACTCTGGTTTTCTGGTTTCTGGATGGCGGTATAAACATTTCGTTTACGCCAGACGTAAAATACTAGACTGGAGACGTTAAGAAGATTCAAAGGTGCGAGATTGTACTGTGAGGTCTGATTTAGAAAAATCCTCCCAACGGAAAAGGCCTATGCCTATGTAAAGGAGATGATCATAAAGATTACAATAATAAACTCCACCCGTAAGAGCAAAGATAAAATGTCTCGTAATTAGTAAAAAGAGTTTCCATATTCAAGATCAAAGGTCTTAAATTATTATATAATCTGTGACCCATAAGCCACACTACCGGTATTTTTATTCTTCTTCATCAGCCCCTTACTGTCGGAATACAGACCTCCCACATTGAATGTTTTATGCGAGGTAAAGCG